CATAGCTTAAGTCGAGAAGAGCTATATGCCAACCAAAGACATGATGAGTTCGATTTCATTCAGCTCGATGACAGCGATGAACTACTTTCTGGAAAAATTTTCAAGCCAAAATCTTTAAACCAAGAAGAAGACAACGATCCAATTCCAGGAAGACCAATCACATTTGAGAATACCAGACAAAAACTGGTTGTCTTTTTCGTCTTTGCCCTATTCTTGTTAACACGAGAATGTGCAAAGAGGGACAGCTGTAGAAACCCGTTTTTGACCGGGTTTTATATTTATATTTTTATTGTATTATTTATTTATTTATTTATTTATTTATTTTATTATTATTATTATTATTTCTTTTATTTTTTTGCAGGGCCCATTTCTAACTACTCAACAACCTCCACTACTCCTACAACATCCATAACCACCCATTATCTCCTCAACTCGCATCTGGGAAGGGGGGAAGCCAAAGTAAAGGATGTGCTTATAAGGTGATATGTCCATGACAGAGAGCGGGGAGGTCAAACTGATCATCAACAACAATACTGGGATCCATTCGAGCTGCATTTTGGTTTCATTGATCTTACATTGAACTAAACAACATTTTTCTTCAACCCGATTCCACCACCAACGCTACACGTTTTCCACTTCCAATCAGCACTTTTTAGAGTCTCAACGTCACCAGTTTCAGCAACAAAAACATCAACGGAGAGAAGATTGATAGATGGCTCGACTTTGGGATCCTTGGAACCTGGATTATGTCCATCACTGCTTGTTGAAAACCAAGGAGCCACCGGTTTGAACCAGCAATCGAATTAGCAGACTGACCAAAGACGTTATCTAAGCCAACGCCACGCATTCCTCATCGTCGCTGCCCTTATTCTGTATTGGATCCTTTTCTCTGTTACTAGCTTTCTTGTTAAAATCGTGCAGTTAAACCAGCAACTCGAGGAGCTTAAGAATCGCTATTGAGATAAGTGATGTGAACTTTAGATCTGTTGTATTTGGCCTACTTCTTATTTTATTTTTCAATAATCTTTTGTTTGAATTTCTTCACGGGTTTGTTCGGATGATTTGGAGTACTTATCTTACAATAATTATATGATGTTATCATTGCATCTATGTTTATCAATTTCTGATTTGATTAAAAAAGAAAGGTAATGTTCAGTTCAAATTATTGCTATTTCTCCAATACTGAGAACCACTTATGGAGTTGAGATTTAGGCTTTACTAATTTCCTTCTCCATGACCCTGCAATATCAATTAGAACAAGTTGATTATCTTCTAGGATTTAACTATGCAAGGCTTGATGATGATCGAATCGACATAATCGAATACTCATCTATAGCTCTCTACATTAGCTGTCCAGAAATTGTTCGATGAAAAGCCTTTGACATATTTAACGGAGGAAGACGAGGAGATAATTAAATCTGTTGTGGCGGGAACAATTCCTTCGTATTCGTTGGAATCGAAATTAGGTGATTGCAAGAGAGCGGTTGCAATTAGGCGTGAGTCGTTACAGAGATTAATGGGCAAGTCATTGTCTGGATTGCCCTTGGAGGGGTTCGATTACAAGTCGATTTTGGGTTTCCATTGTGAGATGCCGATCGAGTACGTGCAGATTTCCGAGGGAATTGGTGGGCTGTTGTTGCTTAATGGAGGAGAGTTCTCGGTTCCCATGACTACCACTGAAGGTTGCTTGGTTGCTAGCACTAACAGGGAAAGTTTGTTTTAAATTAAATTGCAAATGACTTAGAAAAGGCTCCTGCATGCGTGAGATCAAAAAAAAAAAAAACAATGCTTTTGAACTTTTGATAAATTCAACATATGGTCCTTCATCTATGGGTTCCTTTTTTATATTTATTTCATTTAGTTTATTACTTTTTTATTTCATTTTTTTCTTTTGATTTATTTAATGTTTTTATTTTCTTTATTTTCTTATTTTAGTATTATTTTTTTTCTTTTCCTTCTTTTCATTTATTTAATATTTATTTATTATTCTTTATTTAATATTTTTAACTTTTTAGGGATATTTTCAATCAATCAAAGGTAATTAATTTGAATCGAACTTTTTAAATTTTATTTTTAATTTTTAATTTTCGTAATTAAGACAACCGACAAATTAATTGGTACCGAAAGGGCGGTTCAAGGGTGCTAATCCTTCCTTGACCGTAACCGACTCCCGGACCCGATATATTTCTGGTAAAATGCAGATCATGTAAGATGGTGTCCGACCTACCTAAATATTTTTAAAATGGTCGGTGGCGACTCCAACCCAATCAATTCAAGTCGAAGCCCAATTCCGGGCCCAACCGAAAGACGGTTCCGACAATAGTAAAGAAGGTTCATGAAATAACCAACAATCAGTTGGTCTAGTGGATAGGCATTAGATTTTTTGAATAAGGTCATTGGTTTTAATCTTGAAATTTGTGTATTGAGCAAATTAGGTTGAAAGAGTCGTTTCCATAATGGGGTTTTGTAAAATCTGATCTGAATTATTCGATCAATAAATCAAATACTAATGATTAATTAAAAATAAAGTTCATGAAATAATTTTTTTGGGAACCGAATTTAGCTGGGCCTCTTAGCATTGTTTTCTCCATCTTCCAAAACTTGCTTCAAGGTTATTGCATTCCTCATCAGTCCATACAATGAGCTCTGTAACTTCTAACCATGCTCATCACTTAATTACTTTAATCCTGGGGTATTTCTTCTAACTTTTACATAGGACTACATAAATACGAAATATAATCAGAAATCTTGTTTGGGTTGGGGGCACAGCTAGGAGTCCCATCAACCAAACCTCTTCCCTAACTGTTGCAACAATTGAACCACACAGCCTCGGCTCACATCACATGTCATGCATGCACTGTTTGATTTGCCCATGTTGGCTTTTCTAATATCACACCTCATGATTCTTGTTGCCGATGTTGCTTTCTTCTAATTAATTACAAGATCATGCATTCCATAATCGAAACAACCCATATATTTATCAATAACACGTGGAATGGTTAATGAATTATTGACACGGCAAGGGGCAGTAAAGTAAAAGGTGTGTGATTTTACTGTGTGGTTATTTAAAAAAATTAATGGGTCTCGCGTCCTATAAAACTCGATGTCCATTAAACGTGTTTTATAGGACACGAGATAATCGTACATAGGTTATTTAAGGATTATTTTTATAACTAATCTATATAAGGATTATTTCTAAAAAATAATTAATGGAGTTTTTAATATAATAACACTTGTAGTGGTGAACTAAAACGCAACCTCTTCCACGTGACGAACAGCCGATCACACGTGCCAGAAACCAAACGCACCGTCCGGTCCACCACACTGCCGTCTGCTGCCAGCGGTCTACTAGTTATAGCCTGATCTTATAGGTAAACAGCAAAACCTCTAATTTCAATTTTCACCGCTCAAACTATGAAGAAACCGCAAAGACTCCTATTTTTGTCGACGGTTAAAAGTTAAAATCCGAAGCATTAACCGCTAATTACTGCCTCCTCACTCGTAATATAATCGCCCCCGTGTCCGTACAATTCAAAGACCATAAATAGCCCCGACAAACCAGACACAGTTCCATTTGCCTTTGTTTCCTGTCTTCTTCTTCCCAAAGCTAACCAAAGAAAGTCCAAAAGGCTTCATATTTTTTAAAAAAATCCAATCTTCAAAGTTCATTGCTTTCACCCGTCTCTGACTGGTTCGGATTCTCGAACGTAAAATGTTGGAATACAAACGTAACTCGGAAAGTGAGCTGAGTTCAGAAACAAGGAATTCATCGAGTCAGAGTTCAATGAGTAGTGAAAGGTGTAGCAACTCTAGTCGTCTCTCTTTTGAGCTTCTCCCAACATCCAAGTCCAGTCTTTCTCTCAAACCCCACCGGTCTTCCGACTTCGCCTACTGCACTATCCGATCACCGTCAACTTCACCTGCAAAACCGGCCTCAGTTTCCGTATTTTCTGACTGCTACGAAACATAGGCTCAATCGAAAATGTTACGAAGAATATAACATTTTCAGTTGTCAACTTAAAATGTTATGAAAAATGTAACATTTTCGGTTACAGTCTAATCGAAAATGTTATATTTTTATAATATTTTCGGTTACGTCTTTCTTTAATTATAGATTATGATTATAATTTAGTTTTAATTTTTAAATTTTTTAAATTTTATTTTTAACTATGTTTCTCATTCTAAATCGATCTTTAGACTATTAAACATTTTAATTTCATCTTCAATCTATGCCATTCATTTTAAATTGATCTCAAGCTTTTAAATATTTCAATTTCATCTCAAATGATAGGTATATGTTAATCCCATATGTGTTAATAAAATCATTTGGCCAAACTATATTATTATATGTTTGCAAAAAATAAATTTTAGTTTAAACATATTGGATGAATTTAAAGATGAAATTGAAATATTCAAAATTAAAATAAGAATATTATTTAAAGATAGAATAAAATATTTAAAATTTTAAAGATAAATATAAAATAAAAATTTTAATCTAAATATATATCACACCATTAATTTTTTATAGTATAATTCGATTACTTTTAATCTATAGTTTTAAAATTTAAATAAAGATGATAGTTTGAGGAAATGTAACATTTATAAATGGGTTTGGACAGCAGCTGTGAACCCATCTCTATGGACTCATATGAGGGTAAAATTGGCCCAATATAGAACGCAGACTAATTATTCAGCATAATATGATATCATAATTTTTTATTTAGGAAATTATCGTATTTATTACATAGGCTTGAAACTTGTTAGGTGAGTATAACGAGTTTTAATAAAAATTATATTTTATTAAAATTCGTAATTTTAATGTGATGAATTTAAATAAATAAAATATTATTTAGATAAATTAATCATATGAGTGTGACAATTTATCCTGTAACATTTGTCGTATATCCTAAAATAATTTTAGGGTGGGCTAAGGAGCTAAGTTACCCTCATACGAGGCCTTATAGGTGCTAGAGTTTCAGCCCTATCGGCTTATGGTTATAGCTACGCAGGACGAAAGCTCCTACTCTCACTTAGTTTGAGAGAATGGACGACAAAGAGGAAAAGAAAATGGGAGGGAATTTGTTTGCTCTTCGCCAGGCCTTTAGTTTCCGATCGATTTACTCTTCTTCCTCAATTTGCAGCACGCGAACCACAATCTTCTCCCAAATTTCAAGAACCTTATGTTCCTCATCATCAGGTATTATCAATTCTCATGGATTCCACCAGCGTTTTCTATTCCTTCTAATTTTTGTTGTAGTTAAGAAATGGGAAAATTTGGTTTCAGTTTCATCGGATACGAAACAACCGTCTGTTGCGAGGCTTCCGTTTGTGGACGCTTTCCTGGGAAAGATAAAGAATAATAAAACTCTTTTAGCCAACAGGAAAATTTATTCACGTAGATCTACGATTTTTCCCGACTTCGTTGATCAAACTTTACGGATTTACAATGGAAAAAATTTTGTTCGCTGCAAGATCACTGAAGGCAAAGTTGGTCTTAAGTTTGGTGAGTTTGCTTTGACTCGGAAAAGAAAACTTTTGAGGAACAAGGCTGAACTGCAAAAAAGAAGGGCAAGAAATAAGCATTTTCCACCCAAAATCCTATGTGAGAATCTACCTCGTTTTCTAGTTTTTTCTTTTCTAATTCCTTAGTAAGCATATTGAATGGAATTAGGATGATAATAAGAGTGAAATTGGCATATTTGTTTAGAAATGAGAAACATTACATCTCCTAAGTTTCTCCCTTGTTACATTAGACTGCCATGGTGGGAGCTTGGGTGTTGAAAGTTAGTGCCCATCATCTCTAAATTAGTTTTAGTAAATATGTGGAAGTAGGGAATTAGCCTAAGAAACCAGTTTGCACTTTGACAGTTTTGAGCTGACTGCTTGCAAGAGTTTTCACATCATTTATTAGACTAATTGTGTGGTAATTTAATTTATTCTACTTCATTATGATTCATGAACTTGCCTATGTGATCAACAAAGGTCTTCATATCTTTGCTTGCCGGACTCCGTCTTTAAGGTATTAGATTAATAACATGTTCAGACTTCAGACTTGATAAGTAGTTTTAAGCAAGTTGTTTCCTTGTTTAAGACTGGTTGAGTGAGTTTTGCTCGCCAAATATGATGATTTTAATTGCTTGGTCCTTGTCTCTTTTTGTTCGCCGGAAAGAGGGGTGATTCCAGAGAAATAAAAGCTAAAATCAAAGGAGGAGAAAAATGGGTTTAAGGTCTCTTTTCTTGTGTTAATTGACTGTAAGATTTTGTTTGGCCAGTTGTTGACCTGCACTGTTATGGAAAACCCAGTTTTTAGTTATCCTTACATATGGGGTATACTGATAAGAACTTGGAAGTATAATTTGAAAAGCATCGGTTGGGGTTGTCCGTGCAGGTTGATTTTGCAATAAAACTGATCAAGAATAATGTATGACATTAGCGGCGTCTGCTGCTATATCCACCGCCGAGGATGATGGTGAAAGTTGTGAAGTGCTTGAGGCTGGTCTTTGTGATTAAAACGTTGTCGTGCTCTTTGCAGTTGTAGCTTTTATATTCCTCTCTTTCGGAGAAAGGGTAGGCATGAGGTGCCTTTTAAACCAAGAAAGCTATAGGGAGAGAACTTTGCAATGTTCATAATAGATGGTATTTTGTGCACAAATGACCTCTTCTCATAAATGACTTGAACTGTTTTGAAATTTCTATCTGAACTTAGCTATTCCTAAAATTTTCAATTATGCTCTGTAAGTTAGAAAAAACTTAGTCACGTGGTCACCTAATTCCTAAAATAGGGATGTCCCAACCTGACTTTTAAGATAAAAACTAGCAAAATAAACTTAAATGATAAAAATATAGAGATCAGGACCAAAATACATATCAAAATAGGAATTTGGTAAATTACATTCACGAGGTGCCAAAGAATGGTAACTTCAATCTTCTAATTGAAGCACAACATAAGATTGGGAACAACTTTAACATAGGTATAGATATGTATTATATTATTTCTAACATGTACAAATCAAATTACAATTAAAACAATACCTCAAAACCTCAAATCTATAATGTATGCAAGAAAGCCTTTCAACAGAGGCAAATTTCAGTACCTCTGGCAGTGGAAGACAACCTCATTCTACCATGTAACTTATTCCTCAAGCCTACCTGCACGGCTCCGCAGCGAATCTTCTAAGTCAGTTTTTGCTAGGACATACATTTGATAGATGAAATGAACTTTCAAAACATGATGTTATCACAAGGAGCTTATAATTCCTGTCCGGTTCGAACAAAGACAAGAGCAATCGGGTTCAGTCAACTGCCTCTTAACGAGTCGCTTGTCACGATTAATCATAAGTTTGATCACAGGCAGCTTTTGTGAGACTTGTCGCCATATTTCATTAACCGTTCCATTTGGATGAGTATAATCATAGTACCGCCTCACCTGAATCCACAACAGTTGTTTAGAGTGAATTTGAGATTTTATGTCTACCGGCAACAAGTTAATAATGATGCATGAGAACAACTGGTAAAAGAAAACCAATCAAGAGTTGTACTACCACACCCCACCAGTGTCTTGTCTTCTCGCCTTAAACCGGCATGTTTAAACATAACCCCTTTCCTCTAGATCTGTTCCCGGAACTTTACAACCAGACCACAGCTCACGATTTTGTGGTTGATTATGGAGGGCCGGAAAGCTACATCGCAAAGTTTTACCGAAATTCTGATACCCGAAAAGCTATTCGAGGAAACATAGCATAATTCTAGAAGATCAATGTATATCACTCAACTCAACCATAAAATACTACAGGAAAAGGATGATGCTATTTGCTATTTCCACCTTTTACAAACATAAACGAATGAATGCAGCACAAAAACAGAAAGAAAAGTGATACCAATAATTCTTAACAAGGAAAATTGCTTAAAAACCAAAAATTATTGGCGAATCAGAACGCAGAGTCGGATAATTTACACATTTAACTAAGTGAAAGAACACAATATCTAAGTTTTAAAAGCAAAACCATATCATTACCAAGAAATTTTAACCGGGAGATATTTGCTAAACAAAATGCAAGATATTAATGAATTTATACTTTATATGGAACAGATGTAATTGGATCAGTTTATTACTTCCCAACAATGGAGTAAATAGTGAATAAGGAAAAAAAATGGAAAGTGAACATAGTGCAAACCTCTTTCATTGCTTTCTGATATTCAATTATTTGCTCTTCAGGTACTTTTCTCAGCAGTGAAACAAGATACCCTGGTTTTAGGGCAGTTGTAGTTTCGACAAATACAGAAAACTTTCTGTAGTCTATAATATCTTCAAATGGCAACTCAATGCTATCACTGATAATTACAGGGACACACAAGCTAACTATGGAATCAAAGAGTCTGCAAGCTGATGGAGTATCTCCTGCAGGATTCAAACAGAACTTTGATGTGTGCATCCCACGGGATGCTGCTCTTCTATTCTCTCTGGACTGTGTTCCATGTTTAATTACAACATCTTCCTCGTTTACAAGTATTTGGAAAAACAAATCACGAATTTTGCCTCCCTGCAAAATAATAGGTGTTATTATAATTGTATCCTAATAAATCATGGTATCCTAGTCATTAACGTGAGATCTGCTTTAGTATAGGTACTGATTTCAAACTAACATCTGCATCTACGGAAGCTTTAGTACAACTCTTAATAAAAAGGTCAAGGGCAGACATTTAAGCTTTAGTACAATCGCTAAAATTCATGGTATGTTAAAACAGAGCTTAACTCTCTATGATCTACATTGTCAACTAAATAATAGGTAATTATAATAGGACCAACAAACAAAAAATCAAACGAGGAACATTAAGTACACCTATAATGATTACTTATGCTAGTCATTCATGTGAGATCAGCTTAAGAGGCAAAGCTTTAGTACCATTCTTAAAAAGGAGGTCAAGGGAAGGCAATCAGGCATTTAAGCTAAGAGAACAGGCAAAGCTTTATAATTATCAGTGCAGCTTAAGATGGGATACAAAAAAAAAATAGGAAAAAAGAAGAAACTGTTGAATAGGACTACAAAGGAAACTATGACAGATGAAATAGCACTGATGAGCATGAAGCCATCATGTATATGCAAGGTCAATGTAGAATCCAGATAACTTTTATGCTATGATTAAGCTCCTATTCGTGGATGGTGGAGATAACAGTTGTCGACGATAAGCGTCGATAAAATTTTAGGGCAATGCCCTAATTTACGACATCCTGCATAAACTATACCCGGGTATAATCAAGCACATGTTAGAATTACTCCAAAAGCCAGTTTTTGACTCTTTTCCCAGATTTCTTAACCTAAATCTTGAATTGAGCCGAGCTCACATCTTAACCAATAATATCCATGGCATAGAACTAAATTGTGGCCACAAGGCAGTATAACGGCCAAGTCGGTTTTCAAGGTCAATGAAACACCACATCTGCAATTTAAAAGCAGAGTTGTTTTTAGGAAACAAATCAAACAGAAATGCCACAAAATCTGCAACCGCGACACGACGATGTGAACCACAATTTAGAACTATGATCCATGCTCTATGTAGACTGAATAAGCTAAAACTTTCAATTCCATTGCAATCTAAATAAAAGTGAAATTCAACAAAGCGTCATAATATACTAAACACAAAAAACATAAATTTGTATTTAGAATTTTGATTACCTCTTTTCTGTACCGATTTCCCATGAAAAATAGCAAGGTCTTCCTGTCTTTCACTCCAAAATCTCCTGTATAAGCACTGATCCGATGCGAATAAGGAATTATGACATCCTTCACCAATGACCCTTGATCTGGCCTCAACCGCCCAAAATCCGAAACCAACAACACGGCATTCTTGACATGATCCACGCCCCGATAGAGCGCGTTGGGATCCCCGGCAATAATCACGTGATCCCACCCGTTATTCCTCTTCCAATACTCCTGTCCCTTGAGCCAATCCACCAGCTGGTTCTGCATTTCCTCGTCGCTGTAATCCGACCCAGAACCGGGAGGCCGACCCGCGTTAACAATCAAGCTCAAGGAAGAGAAAACAGGGACGTAGAAAAGGTCGGCTTCCTCCGGGTCGGTGACTCTAATCACGGGGGATCCGAGGCGGTCGGATTGGGGCTTGGAGAGGTCGGAGAAGAGGAACCACTCGTGCATGTGCTGGTGACCGGGGTATTTGAGGGTGGTGACATCGGAGACGACGGATCCACCACGCGCGAGGGAATGCTGTTGGATGATTCCGTAGGTGAACTTGTGAGGGAGATCATACATAAAAACCTTGACTCTCTGGGGAAAATCATTGGGATTTTCTAGGGAAAAAACACGATCAAGTTCAATGAAAGAAGAAGAAGAAGAAGAAGAAGAGTCGGAGGGAGAGTTGAAGAAAGTGGAGAAGAAGGCGTAGATAACGAAGAGGAAGAAGACGGTGGCGATAAGGGTATGTTTGAAAAGGGAGGATTTTCGCGGCATATCGGAAAACGACGAGGAAGGAAGAGAAAACGAAGTTGAAGAGGATGCCCTTGCTATTGGCTTTCGAGTTTTCATCAGCGTTTCGGCCTTAGATTTAAGTCAGGGAGAGATTTCAGCCGCGCCCCCTTTACCTTTGCATCAGTGCGTGGTTTACAAAGAACACGGCTGAGAAATCCACAAACGCCTTCAACTTGAAACCTGTCACTTCATTATTCTTATCAAAGAAAAATTAAAACGTTTGCACAAAGTGATGTCCCAAATCAGAAAGAGCTGTGGAAATTAACTTCCACATAAAACCTTTTCACTTCTGAATAAATTTTGTTTCAACATAAACCATTTAATTAAAATATTATTTCTATAATTTCATAAATAAAAATATTAAAATTAGTATATTCTACCGAAATAAAAACATTATAAATTGTATTAAAATATTTCTAGATTATTATATCATTATTAAATATATAAATAATATTATTCATTCCTAATAATTTCATAATATCGTTTTTATAAAATTAATAAATAATTTAAACTTTATTATAATTTATTATATATTATTAAAATAAAAAAAATAATATCCTATATTATTATAATATAATTAAATATATTATTATAATCCCCGTCTAACTTAATGTGTCAATTATTAATTTTTAAAAAGTTAAAATTTTTAAACTTTGACCATGATTATTTTAAATATTTTAAATTAAATTTTATAAAATATATATTTAAAAACTATTTAATTAAAAGGTTTTAAAATATATTTTTTGTATTTTTATTAATAATAAATTTTAAATAATGATGAGTTAAAGTTAAAAAAATGACAAAAAAAAGTCAACATGACATATTTAATGGGATAGAGAAAGTAATATTTAAAAATATTATATTATATTATTAAAAATATTAATAATAAATACATTTTAAATATTTTAATAATTAATATTTTCATTAAAATAATACTAAAATATTATATTAATGTTAAAAATATATAAAATAACATTATTTTGTGTATTTGTTCCTCGAAGTGAAAAGTTCAGAAAATGATTTACAGAAGTCGGACTGTAAGTCATTTTCTATAAAATGTGACGTAAATTATGTCGATCAGAAAAATATTTTACATTAATCAATCAAATTTTCTTTTACCAAATATTGAAAAATGAGGAAACGTTTTTCGAAATATATTTTACATCAAATAGACAAACCCTATAAATGAGATCCCTAGAAGATGGGCCTTTTTAGATGGAAGTATAGCCCAAATTATGTTCATACTAATCCAGACCGGCTTTGGATATGTGGGCCAACCCCATAACCCTTCGTCATTACTCCATTTATTGCTTGATTCTCTATTGTCCTTCAAAATCTCAAATTAATAATTATGATAGTAGACTTTAGTTGTTTTCAATTTGATCTGTTTTCATTATTAATAAATAAAACTGATTTTTTGAATTTGTTTTTCAATAGTCATATCCGTTTTAGGACTGTCAGCATTTCGCCAAGTGTAAAATCGGTTTTAATAGTATGGCACCGACCAAAGTAGCTTCCGTGGTATGAAGAGATTTTATTCCATGAATGAATAGTTCATCCTTAAGAATGGATTTTATATGGAATTTAGATTATGGTCAAGAGATTGTGTAAAAATCTATGAAGAGATAAAGTCCGGTAAAATATTTGAATAAATGGATTGAATCGGGCAATTAGAAAAAATTGAAGGATGATGTAAAAAGATTAGAAATATTACTTCTATATTTTAAAATGTTAAACTTTTACGTGAATCCCTGGAATTTAGATGAATTTTCTATGTTAAACCGAAATTATTAATTATGGCGACTAGTTTATATTTTTAGAAAATTAAATGAGTAAATTTGGAAAGTATGAAATAGTTTGTTCATTTTTTACTTTGAAAATGATAAAAGGAAGATGATAGGGACAAGTGGCATGGCAATTAGGTAATTGTCATGATTTTTAAAGGATAAAGTTGTAATTTTGCATTAAATTTTTTTATATTCAATTAAATAAAATTTTTAAAGTGTACAAAAGATATTTTATAGGAGATATATAGAAAACTTGTTTGATCCTCTATATAAACATGAACTACAAAGAAGAAAGAAGGCAAGGTAAGTTTTCTTATTTTCTTTATTTTAGTCATTTTCCTTTAATTTTTTGATTATGCTATGAAATAGAAAAATTATTTATATTAAATTCTCTATAAATTGGTGGTAATATTTCATTGTTTCCATGCTTGAATCATTGGTTTGATTGCTAGAGTGAATGATGAACAAATTGTATGTTAATGATTTAAGGATAGATTGTTGTGTTGTTAATATTCTAGAGTTGATTTTAAGCTTGAATAATAATTAAAATCAACTGAAAATGTTTAAAAATGAACTTGGTAAAGGTTAGGGTTTAGGGAACTGATTGAGATTACATTGAAACGATGATATGAACTTGAATTTATGTATATGTGTTCATTTGATAAGCTAATATAATTAATGAATAAGCTGAGAAATGCAAATTAGTAAAACTGTTTACATGGGAAATCCGAACAGTAAGTTTATAAATTCACCATAAAATCTTCAAGAAGGATTAAAAGATGATTTTTATATCGTTGGATCCTTATATCAGTCTAGTTATATTTAAAACAAACTTCTACTGATTTGGAACTGTATACAAAAAGATATGAATTTTTAATCGATGAAAAGTAAGAAATTTGAGTAGAAAATTCTGCAAGTTGGATTAGAAAATTTTTCATAAATTGTACAAGTTGAACTAGAAGAATTTCCTTATATGCTTATATTCGTATGTAAGTATAATTTCTAATGGTACATACTGAATAATTTTTAAGTGTCTAGATCAATACAAAATAATATTTGTTGGTAATGCAAACTGACATAATATGAAATTGAGGTAAACTATGCATTTTGTGATATTTTTATGTTATATGCTATCTTAATTGTTTGAAATGACTCAACTTTATTATCTTAACATGATAATTATGACATTTATCATATGATAGAATAATGAGAATTTCATGGAAATGTTGTTTAGAGGAAGAATTAATGCTTGAATAAAAATATGATCCATGCTAGGAAAACTTAGAAATATTCGACTAATGGAAAGAAATAAGGAAAATCCATGGTAAAAATTATACAAGATTTATAAATGAAGTATGAGTGACTCTACATGCTTAGAGTATGATTTGGATCAAATTGGAAAATTGTGAAAGTATAGGGACTTAGTAGTATAAAATGAGAAATATGGAGATTTATGTGCAATCATTTAATAATTGATGTATCATGTTAAAATTAAAAGTTGGAGTGCTAAATTTGATGTTTAAATGGTGATTTGGATTAAATTGAAAATTTGAGAAATTATAATGACCTACTTGAAATTTATGGAAATTTTGGGAAATAAGGTGTAATTATTTAATAGATGATGTAATATGCTAGAATTTAAAAGTTAGAATGTTGAATTTGATGCTAGAGCGTGAAGTTGGAATAATTTAGAAATTTGGGAACTAAAACATAAATTATGGATAAAGTAGGGACTTACGTGAAAATTGTGAAATTATTGAGGTATTATGTTTTAATTAAAATTCTGGAAATTTGGAAATATTAATTAAAGCTTAAATTGAAGTTAAATTTATAAAATTGTAAAGATTGATGACTAAATTATAAAGTATATAAGTTGTGGGTTTTGAAATGGAAAATGTGTATAAGTTAAGAAATAGAAATTAAAAATGTTGGAATATGTGAATTTGTGTTAGGATGCTTGAATTTAGGATTAAATGGTAAAAAGGACTATATTAAATAAAATAGAACAATTGAGATGAAAATTTAAAATAATTTAACTTATGGTTAAAATTATGATATTATGGCTTCAGAATTGAATTTGGAAGAATGTATAAGCTAAATAAATAAATTGTAAATATGGATAAATTAGGGATTAAAGTATAGATTGAGTATGAGATAATGTGCAAAGTCTAAATAATTATTAGAGGGACTAAATAGTTAAACTAGAATTTGGCTTATGTGGGAAGTTGTATAAAATAGAGATCTAGTTCGTAAGTTTTTAGAAATTTGGTGGTGAAATGATAATTATGTAAAGTTAATGCATTGGATTGGATATAATGTGAAAATAATTGATATGAATTTAAATTGAATATTAAAGAACTAATTTGGATATATTTGAAATATTAGATTTATAATTGAAAGAAAAGTTTATTAGTGGTTAAATGTAAAATGTTGAAAAGTCAAGTGAATGGTTGTAATAATAATAATAATAATAATAATAATAATAATAATAATAATAATTATTATTATTATTATTATTATTATTATTATTTAAGGAGAAAATAACTCCAGTGACCGAAAATGTCTTATAATATACGATTTTAACCAATTTTTTTTGGATTTGCGAAAATGACCAACAAATTCGCAATGCGAACTCCAATTTCGCAACACAATTTCCAAATTCGAAACTCAGTTTCTGCAATTGCAACGCGAATTTCTTTCTCGCAACACGATTTTCCAAATTCGCAACACAAGTTTCCTTTTCGCAACAAGATTTTTTAAATCGCAACACGAATTTTTTTTAACTCGATTTTCGAATTCGCAACACTAATTTTAATTTCGCAACACAAATGTTTTGGGTATATAAACTACGCAGCAGCAACAACTCATAACCAGAATCCCTAAATCGCAACTCATTCCATCTCCATCTATCACTCTCTCCGGCGACATCCGTTCCTATATCCAACGACATCCTTCCCCATCTCTAATTTTATTTACATAATTTTATTTATATATAATTTTTCAATGATTTCTCTCCCAAATTATCAACTATCAACTTAATAAAGGTATGTTTTTCTCTAAGTTAGTGATGATATATAGTTTATAGCTCGTTTGTTTAGTAAAATAATTTACAATTTGTAGAATGAAATCATCTAATGTTGATCATGTTTGGATATATTTGTGTTTTGGAGGGTCATGGAAGAATGTTCATGGTGTTTTACAATATATGCATTTACCCATGAATCTTCAACTAAAATTATCATTAAAAAAGTTAACTTATGAAACTCTAATGTTACGTGTTGCAAAGAAATTGAATTTAGAGCCTCTAAGTGGATTTAAGCTATCTTATCAGAGAAAATGTAAAGTTTATTTGTTAACCGACAATGAAGATGTTGAACGATTCATTGCTTACATTAGTGTTTCACAAGATGATGTTACATTGT